TACATTTGAGAACACAAGCTGAGATGGCATTATGTCTTCTTTCTAACAATCTCTCAAACATTCACAGTGCACAAATGATCTTTTATATATAAAAATGAGTGGATGCATGGTTAGCCCTAAAACAATGTCAGTTTCACACTCTGACTGACTTGCCTTCTTGAATAGGAGAGTAAGAGCTACAGATGCGGTTGGCATGTTTGCATGCCCCTGGGGATGCTGTGTAAATGTGTCATGTATGTCTGTGCCAGCTTATATATCACAACCCAGAAAAGGCAGAAAACTACCCTCAGACACAATGGGGAACTGGACTAAGGGTGTACAGGGGTAAGGCAAAGAACAACTGTGTGTCATTGTCATGTAAGCTCTTCTATAATGTTTGAACTTTGTTTTACGTATGTGTATATCTGTGTGTGTGTGTGTGTGTGTGTGTGTGTACATGAGGGGGGAACCCCAAAAGCCAGAATTTATTTACAAAAAATTTGCATTTATTCTTACATGTTTAAACTTCAGTCACCTTCAAAGTACTTTCTGATGCAATACACCTATCGAGACGCTTTTTCCACTGCTCAAAACAGTTTTTGAACTCACCAATTTTGAAGCCTTTCAGTGCTTCTGCCATTTTTTGTTTCACCTCTTCCACATCGGCAAAATGTTTTTCTCTGAGGACTTTTTTCATCCCAGGAAACAAACGAACAAACAAAAAGCTGCTCAGGTGAGATCAGGTGAATAGGATGGGTGGGGTGTGGAGGTCATGCTATTTTGGGTCAAAACCACTGAACACTCAGCTCAATCTGTTCATAAATCACTCATCATGAAATGGGCAAATGTATTGAAAGAGTCTTAAAAAAAAAAAATTACTGAAGCCAAGCACAGCCTCTCATAAGAAAGCTAGCTGGTATACTTACCTAGTGGGGGAAGAATGTACTACAAGGGACCTGCCCTCCAAAAAAATAATTACAGGTTTTTTTGAATCCCCCTTGTATAATAAACCTGAAAAGGAAAATGTATTAAATAGTACATTAAAGGGTGGGGGAGGCGCATAGGGACAACATGTTAACATATTGTCACAGTCAGGAAAAACCAAGGCAATCCAACTGATAGATACAAGAATTGAAAAAAAGAAAAATAATAGTAGCCAGGGACCGTTTAACGTGGTCATAAAAAGGTTCATACACCTCTCGAAAATCATTATAATGCCTCAAGTGTTAGACTTTATGGGGCCAGTGGCGATGCTGAGACCTCCAGTTAAGATTAAAGAATCCCCATCACACCCTATTTAAGGAGGCAGAGAGCCAAGCAGTATATTTTAGTGAGATTTTTATTAAAAGTAGCTAATATCACTGGTGAAAAAAAAGGCAGCATCATCTTTACATGCCTTTTCTTCAAAGCACTTAAACTATAACACTTTTAAATTTAATTCTCATTGAACCTCCCCAACTGTATGCCCTGTATGTGCAGGAACCATGTTGATGCTGTTTTATTGACCCAGTTGCCCCAGGAGGGAAGCAGCTCTCTCTTTTCTCAGCCCCTTGAGGTCCTCACTCTGCTCTTGACCTTCTATGGAATAGGGTATAGGAGGAGGTAGCATCTTGTCCCAGTAAAGATGTCCCCTCTGACATGCTTTCTACCGAGTCCCACATCGAACTGAGTCCCATGTCAATACACTGCCATCTCACCGTCTGACTGCCTAGGAATGTCTGCTTTGAATGCTGCTGGGAAGGAAAGCTTAAATATGAGTGGAAAACCTCAGTATTTCCTCATACTCTGCATATTGGGTTTCTTACAAAATTTGGTACCTGTTCTTTCCAGTTTTTTTTTTTTTTTGACAGAGACCCAGAAAAAGGCCCTAAACAGGTGCAGCAGTAAAAGCCTCAGGCCCCTCGGTTCAATTCATAGCCTACCTGGGTGTCTCTCAGCCTGCAGGTGTTGGGCCGGGTGGGGGGGTCTGGGCTTATCCAGTAATATAACCACCTCCTAGGGGTCTCCTAGCAAAGAGCTCAGATCAGCCCTGTGATAGAGGAGGGCCAGGAGCCTCCACACAGGGACCCCACTGTTAGACTCAGGCCACCCCCTCCCAAGGTCCCTGCCTGGACTGGACCCACCTTGAAAGGCCTCGCCTTAACTCTCTATCCAACCTCTCCCTTCCCCCTCCCCACTTTCCTCTCCTTTTCTCACCTCCTCTTCCCTTCCACCAGCTTCTGCCTCTCCTCCTCCTCCTCTTCTTCCCTTGTTCCCATCCTCCCTTCCCTCCCTGCACTGCCTCTCCCTCCCCTCCCACTCTGCTCCTCTTTCCCTCCTCCTCCCTTGCCCTCTTTCCCTTCCCGCTTCACTTCCTTCTTAGAGGAAGCCAAGAATCAAAGGTCAGTCCCCTCCAGGGACCCTTTTCAGTTACCTACAAGCTAAAAGTTCAGCACACAATAAATAGCTTTTCATTTTTTCCGTGGAGATAGGGCTATTAGATAGAGATAGAGATGGCCCTGTCTCTATTAGATCGAGATAGGGCTATTCATGCCCAGAAGACACTAATTTTCGAAGCAGCAGAGATATTTTAAACAAACGGGTCTTCACTGGTTCAGCTCTCCTTTTACAGAATCACACATTTTGCTTAACTGGAGGCTCCTCCCCTCCCGGAGAACAGGCTTGGAAGAGGATTATGGAAGTGTTTATGAGGGGCAAAAGGTGAAGGAAAGTGCACAAAGTTCTAGGAAATGTGGGTTCACAAGAAGGGCTTGAGCCAGACCTCCTCCAGCCCTGCCGCCCCAGGCGCCACAGGCAGAGGTGCACTCTCAGGAGCAGAGGAAGAGCTTCAGGACCCTCCCCTGTTCTGGCCCTTCCAAGGTCCTGGGAAGAACCCCAGCACTGTGTTCCCATGGTCCTATGTTTTTGTAAGATTTGCAAAAGAAATGCAGTTTCAACACAGTTGAGTTCAACTGCCGTTTCTTTCCACTGCAGCTTCCCCTTCTTCATTAATTCTCCTCTGGTCAGATGGCACTGGAACAGTTGAGGGCATTCGGGGGACCCAACTAAGGGGAAGCTGGATGGGGAATGCATTTAGCTTAGATTGAATGGGATGCATCCATATGGGCCACAATCACATCTGTGTGTGGGTAAGTCTGCTGTCTGCCACAGGGTAGGAATGGCTTAAGGGAATCATGTGCAAGGCTGAATTAAATATAAACGTGCCCTGTGGTGCCTGGCATCAGAAGTCTGTGGGTAGCGGAGGAAGAACAAGGTTTGAAATGTACTGAGCCAGACTGGAGACTGTGGAAAATTCTTCTAACCATGAGATGTGTAAAATGCAGTTTTCCATTGATGCCTCATCAAAATGGAAATTCAGGAATATATTCATTGATGAAGCATGTACACTGATAAGTACACTGTGCATTGCTTACAGGAATTGCATAAAACAAAATTTATCAGAAATCTGGCATTTGTGGGCACTACCCAGTGGCAGTGCTGCACACAGCAACCGTGTCTGTGTGTAAGAAGCGTGTTTAATGCCTTCCAGCTACCAATATTTTCATCAGTCTTGCTGGAGGAAAGTCTCTACCTTATCTTTCTATTTTCTCTAATACAAAATCATTACCATATAAAGAGAATATTAAAGTATGCAGGCAAAAACTCCAGAGGAAAAGTTATTTTAGAGGTATGCCAGGAAGTTAATTAATTAAAACATTTTGTAGTTTTTATTTTTTTTCTTCTGGATTTTGAGATCTATTGTATTTGCTGGCTGTAAAAAGTATTTAATTTTTTTTAAATTTATAATCTTCTAAAGAGTCACTTTGACTCCCATTTTTGTATTTGTATTATTTTTCTTAATGAAAGCCCTCACAAATGATATAATCCTCAGGCCCCACAACCAACTCTGGGAAGTTTCTAGACAAAGTTCTGTCCTCTCTGCCTCAGGGAACGCTGCTCCAACCTGGGTACCCACATTCCCAGGTACAGCACAGTAAACTCAAATCTGAGAGGGCTTGCGCAGAATATTCTTTACCTATTCCACAGAAGTCACCTGGCGGTCAAGCTATTGGTTTATTAAAACTTACAGGATGCCGGGCGCAGTGGCTCATGCCTATAATCCCAGCACTTTGGGAGGCAGAGGTCAGAGGATTATCTGAGCCCATGGGTTTGAGACTAGCCTGGGCAACTTGGCGAGACCTCATCTCTAGAATAAATCAAAAAATTAGCCAGGCGTGGTGACATGTGCCTGTAGTTCCAGCTACTTGGAAGGCTGAGGTGGAAGGATTGCCTGAGCCCAGCAAGTGGAGGCTGCAGTGACCATGAGCATGCCACTGCACTCCAGCCTGGGCAACAGAGTGAGATTCCAACTCAAAAAAAAAAAAAAAAAAAAAACTTACAGGAGGCACCGGTTGGTGAAAAAAGAGTCCATACCTCAGGACTGTACAGCAAGCAGTTAAGTATTCAAGTTGCTATACAGTGTTTACAATGACATTGGGTGGCGCCTACATTGTACTCAGCTCTGTTAGATCACCTGCACACCTGTGACTCATTACTGGGAGCGTGCCCATCTTTCAGAGACCAGCTTGGCCAGAGGCTTCCTCCTGAGAAAGAAAGCAGAAAGAAGTCAAGGTATAGGGGAAAAGGGCCTATGTCTGGACAGTTACCTCACACCTGAGCAATTTGGTCAGTGGGGCATTGCTGAGGTACTGGGTAACCTTCCCTCTAGGATGCATTTTTGGGGCTATGGAGGTCTTTTTCCTGATGGTTTCTGCCCCAGTTCTCTGGGATCCTGCTCTTGTGGAGAAAGGACAGTGGCTGTGACTGCTCAATTTCTCCAGCAGTGCTGAGGCCCAACTGCACAAGTTCTCATTTTGGCATAAGTCCATTTGAGGTTCTTTTGATTCAGGGAGAGGCAGGAGAATTTTCTGCCATGTCTTTTCTCAGATTCACATTGTGTTTGGGTCAGGTGATCAGACGCACAAGACTCTCTCATGCCTTCCGCAGCAGCACATTTACCAATTTTCTGTTTTCCTTAACAGAGTTGGTGTGGACCTGGATGAAAATCTGAAGGAGGACCCCTCCTCACAACACCAGGCAAGTCAGAGAAACCAATGCAAAGAATACAGAGATATGAGATGTTCTGTTCCGTAGACCATTCCATGCTTGCCCTACAGGTGGCCAGGGGGCTCATTCTAAATGAACAAGATGACAATAAAATAAACAGGAATTCAGGGCGTTGATAACTTTTAGCATATGAATGCTTACAACTAGCATATATTTCCAGCCTCTCATGACAGCCAGAACTTTACAATGTAGGAGCAAGATCATGAACAGCTCTTAGAATGGGGCACCCCACGGTTCATATCCCTACTCAGCGACTTCCTAGCTAGGTGAACTCTGAAATTGACTCAAAGTAGGTCCAATGTATGTTGCACACACAGCAAATTGACTTGTCTCTCCTGCATGGCTTCCCATTAATAAGGTCCGAATGTAAAAAATAACGAAACAAATGACAGTGAAACTGTCTGGGTGACCCATTCCTGACTTAGCTGATTACCTGCATAGCCCTGTGTAATGCAGCAACCCTAAATCTGAAAAGGCTTGCACATAAGGTACTTTACCTGTCCCAAAGAAGTCACCAGAGGTCCAGCAGGGAAAGACATTGGCTTACTAGAACTTACAGGAGGGATAGATGGCAGCAGGTCATTGAAGAAAGAATCCAAGCCGGGCTAGGTGGCTCAGCCTGTAATCCCCCACCTTTGGGAGGCTGAGGTGAGTGGATTGCCTGAGCCAGCGGGTTCGAGACCCGCCTGGGCAACTTGGCGAGACCTCATCTCTACCATAAATCAAAAAATTAGCCAGGTGTGGTAGCGCGCACCTGTAGTTCCAGCTACTTGGAAGGCTGAGGCGGAAGGATCGCCGGAGCCCAGCAGGTCGAGGCTGCAGTAGCCGGGAGCAGCCACTGCACTCCAGTCTGGGCGACAGAGTGAGACTCCAACTCAGAAAAAAAAAAAGAAGAAGAAGAAAGAATCCATATCTCGGAACAGGACAGCAAGCGGTTTTATAATCAAGCAAGTTGATTATTCAAATTGCTATACAGTGTTTACAATTACAGTGAGTAAGTGTGCCGCCTACATTGTTCTCAGCTCTGCTGGATGACTCATTACTGGGAATATGCATATTCTCCAGAGACCAGCCTTGGCCAGAGACTGTTCCCTAAGGGAGGGGGCAGAAAGAAGTCAGGTATGTGAGGGGGTGGGGAAGACTATGTCCAGACAATTATCTCACAACCTGAAAATCTTTGGGGGAAATTGTTCAGAACACTGTACTATTCCCACAAGTAGGGAAATATATTCTCCAAATTCTAGATTTGAACCTGACATCAAAGCAGAATCTGTCATTGTCAATTTTGTATTTGCCATTGTAAAGTCAGTACTTAACACAAACAAGCATGTGGAAATTTTATACCTTTTGCTGAAATTAGAAGCGGGAAGACATGATAGGACAATATCATAAATAAGTGATGTTGCTTAATTGTGTTATGAGCATATTTATACTTAACGAAGAGTCTTTGTTTTATTGTGTGTGTGTGTGTGTGTGTGTGTGTGTGTGTGTATGTTTCTATAATGTCATCAGTGAGGCACATTCATGTTCCTGGTTTGCGTTGCTGAGCATAACACTGCTTTCCCAGGTTACATAGATATAAGGAAGGAAGGAGCCTGTACTCTGCAGAAAATGCTGGGAAATTAAGTTGGTGATGATCTGGTGCTCATGCACTTTGAGTTTTTTGTCACATGTGTTTCAAGGCCAGGCTGTACTGTTTTTACAGACTCCATTGCTCAGGAAACACACCTAACTGCAGGATTGAGCACAGCAGGGGTACTCAAAGCACTGGGATTAGGGCCAGCCAGGTGACCTTAGAAAGAAGATCAAAGTCTATCTCTTTACACTGGTGGGCTATAATGAGTAGTCATTCACGTATGGTGGTGGCTGATTTTTAAAAAGCATTTCATCTTGTATAGGTCAAATAATCCGTTCTCATACCTTTAAGCAAAACTTTTATCTAAATGTTATCCTTCGTGTATACCTTTCTTTTTAAAAGAAGAAAAGACAGAATAATAAAATTCATCAAAGAAAATGCTTTATCTTCCTCTAACTGCCTAATAGCCTATAAGCCCATATAGTTCTTGGTAAAATTTTCTACTAGCCTAACTTCTTCCTTTTACAATTTAAATGTATTTTATTTTATCTCATTCATGTGACACTTTAAAACAAAGTTCACCATTGTTAATTCAGTAATAATTCTTTTATGAAGCTATTAGCAATAAAAGGAATTTTTATTAGAGAAATAGAATAGCATAACATGAACAGTGAAAACTGTGTGATATTTGGATCTTGGGCAAGTGTTATACATCTTTGAGTCTGTTTATCTATAAAGTGTAAGTGATAATCATGTCTCCCTCTCCAGGCTGTTATGACAAGCAAGGGAAATCATGTTTATGAAAACCACCCAACTTAATTAAGCTAAACCCGTTTCATTTTATGAAAGATTTGAGGCAGCTCAAACCACTATATAAAACAGTAAAACAATTTTTAAAGAATTCTGAAATTCAATAACAATTATTAATTAGAGCAGATTGTCAAAACCAGAGGGTTAAAAAGAATCATAATTAAATAGATCATAAGGGCCTACATACTTGCTATAGTAAAACCACAAGTAAGCTTTCTGGTAGCCAAAGGGCAGACGAAGGAAATAATAAATAGTAATATACTAAATTCATATCATTAGAGAGAAAAATCATATCCTCTCCTCTGAAGTACAAAACTTCACAGGTCAGTATGTTTTAAAAGAAATTTCTCACTTGGGCCTCCTGTGGAGGACACATAAAGAGCTATCTAAATGTTAAGTAACTAGCATTATAATTTGCACGGTTTCTACTGAACTGCTGCTGCCTAAAAATAATTTTATTTATAAGAAGTGTCCTGTGTTAGTCATGATCATGTTTGACTACCAAAGAAGTTATATGTCAGAAAGAAGTTTTCTCCATACGTTGGGGGTAATTCTTGTCTTCAGTGTCAAGTACAGGAAATAGTGGGTCTGCCGAGAAGAAATGAGCCACAGAGTCCACGCAGCTGCCATTCGACCTGGGCAGATTTTTGGGAATTTCAAAATCATCTGTCAAGAACCTCTCTGCCTCATCTTGTCTGGCAACACCTTACTTATTGTCAGCATTTGTTGGACCACAAAGCAGAACCCTGTTTTTAGGAGGATTGTACGTTTTCACATACATTTATTAAACTGAATCTGCCTAAACAAATAGGATCATCTTTGCACTGGTCCACCTTAACAAAGAAACAAGAGACCATATCCTTACTTACCAAGAGCTAACACATTTGCAGCTAGTTATGGCCATTACTCATCTGACATTCTCAAAATCAAGAATCAGCATATATATTTATATGTGCATTTTATTTTAAAGATGTAGGGTACAATTCAGGATTAGGTACATAAATGGAAGACATACAGATAAAGTTTGGGCCTCCCATTGGTCCTCACTTCACCTGGTTTAGCATCAGGTACCCTTATGATGTTATGTGCCTCCCTCCCTCCTTCCCCTGGCAGTGCCCCACTGCAGCCAATCCCTTTCTTGCAGTACTATGATAAATGTTCAGGGTCCACTTAGGAGTGAAAACATGTGGTACTCAGTTCTTTGTTTCTATGATAGAGCACTGAGTATGATAGACCCTAATTCCATCCAAGTTGCTGCAAAGTCCATAATTTTGTCCTTCTTTATAGCTGCGTAATATTCCATCGTGTATATGTACCACATTTTTTTTTAATCAAGGCCACTTTTGATGGGTAGCATGGTTGGTTCCATGTTTTTGCTGTTGTGATTAGTGGTGCAATAAACATACGTGCCCAGGTATCTTTTTTGTAGAATAAATTGAGTTCCTGTGGGTATATTATTAGAAGGGAGATTGCTGGATCATATGGAAGGTCCATTTCTAGATCTTTTAGAAGTTGCTACACTGTTTTGCACAGAGGTGGTACACTCCCAACAACAGTGTAAAGCATTTCTTTTTCTATACATCTTCTCCAGCATCTGTTGGGTTTTTTTGAGTTATTAATGATGGCCATCCTGACTGGTGTTAGATGGTATCTCAGTGTGGTTTTGGTTTGCATTTCTTTGATGATTAGTGAGGCTGACCATTTTTTCATGTATCTGTTGGCTGCTTGTATGTCTTCTTCTGAGAAGTGTCTATTCATATCTTTTACCCACTTTTTAATAGGGTAGTTTGTTTTCTTTTCCTTTCAGCACGTTTGAGTTCCTTGTAGATCCTGGATGTTAGGTTTTTGTCAGATATACAGCTGGCAAATATTTTTTCCCAACAGTCTGTGGGCTGTCTCCCCACTCTCTTGATGGGTTGTTTTTTTGTGTTTTTTTTTTGAGTCGGAGTCTCACTCTGTCACCCAGACTGGAGTGCAGTGGCCGCTCCCGGCCATCGCAGCCTCCACCTGCTAGGCTCCAGCGATCCTTCCACCTCAGCCTTCCAAGTAGCTGGAACTACAAGCACGCACTACCACACCTGGCTACTTTTTGATTTATTGTAGAGATGAGGTCTCACCAAGTTGTCCAGGCGGGTCTCGAATCCGCGGGCTCAGGCAATCCATTCACTTCAGCCTCCCAAAGCCCAGGATTATAGGCTGAGCCTCCGAGCGCGGCTTCTTGATGGTTTCTTTTGCTTTGCAGAGGCTTTTCAGTTTGATGAGGTCCCACTTGTCTATCTTATCTCTTATGGAATGAGCTTTTGGGTTTTTTATCAGGAATTGGTTGCCTATTCCAATGTCTGTAAGTGTGTCTCCTGCGTTTCCTAAGACTCTTATAGTTTGAGGTTTTACGTTTAGGTCTTTGATCCATTTAGAGTTGATTTTTGTGTATGGTGATGGGTAGAGGTCCTGTTGCATTCTTCTACATGTAGTCAGCCAGTTTTCCCAGCACCATTTACTGAAATGGATCCCTTCTCTTCAGTGGTTGTTGGTGGAGGATTTGTCAAAGATGAGTGGTTGAGAAATTGAGGTTTTGCTTCCAGAA